ACAATAAAATTGACAGAATTATATAGCATAGGTGCATGTACTTAGAACAAAAGTTTGAGGTTGACTTGGTAAATGCATAGAACACCGAGCAGAGGAAAAGATCAGATAATTACTGACTAGCAAAACAAAATGTGCAGGAAAAAAATTATAGTATGTGCTTCTGTTCTGCTGTAAAAAGTATTATATAGTTATAATTAAAATGCTGAGTTTCTGTCTAATAAAAAATAAAGATATACCTATAGAATGGGTAGATGGGAAGTACATGGGGTACAGAGATAGATGGGGAAAGGGGTGTGAGAAAGAGCTAAGTCTTCTGTGATGGGAAGTCAATAGATGGTGCTTTTAACTTGGAATACAAGAAAAAGCATGTAGGAATGTTACTTGTAGGTAAACACTGAAAATGATTGCCTAGTAAAAAAATTGGAGAATGAGTGCAGAGTAGCAAACCTTCATAGCAGAAGTTGTACAACTAATTGGCTGTTTAACCTGTATTTTTCAAATAAAAAATTTGTAAGCAATAAGTTTGAATTAAAAAATGAGAGATGCAGTTATAGACAGCAACATGGTTTAATCTCACAAACATAATGTTGAGTGAAACACACCAGACAAGAAAGATTTGATTTATAAAATGTATAAAAGTATAAATACGTACACTTTTTCCTTTAACTATAAACACTTTTTTTAAAAGTAAGTATAAAAGACCTAACTAATCCATGGTTTTAAAGTCATGAATGTGGCTAAATAATGTGCAGAAAATCTTACTCACTTGTTACTTCATTATTGTTTTCTAAAACAGACTGATAGTAAAGCTTGTATTTGGTTTTTGAGGATGACTTTTATTTTAACACCTGGTAATCATTCCCACTGAAACGACTAAGGCAGGAGTCAGCAGGCTGCAGAGTGGGCCAGACCCTGCTCATGCCCTGCTATGTACGTCTTTGAGCTAAGAAGGGTGTTTTGCATTTTTAAGTGGAAAAATAAAATGCAAATGAAATTATACATGGCCTATGAAGCCTAAAATTTGTACACTCTGGCCATTTATGGAATAAGGTTGCCAACTCTTGTGTTAGAACACAAGAAAATGCCTGTTATTCTAGAAGGAAGACGCCATGAAAGTTCTAACTAGATGCAATACAACATTTTTTTACAAAGCAACACAACTTCTGAATATGGTTAAAATATTACATGTTTTTATAGTAGTTTTTGGTAAGGTGTTTAAACTAGTAAAGAATGTCTCCAACATGGCTAAGCTTGATTTGTTCTGTTACAGGTTGTAGGTGGCCTAGATATCCACAAAAAGATGGTGGTAGATGTGTGACTCTTTTTAAAGAGTACCACCCAACACTTTTGCTTTCTTCTCCATCTCTGAAGATCTGCTCAAGACGTCCAGCAATGCTCTCTGTGTATTTAAATGGAAGTATTTTTCTCTGTGAAGCCACATTTTCCAACATGAGCCTCATGAAGCCAACTAAGTGTTATTGAACTGTTACTCTCTCAATAACTCAGTGTAGCACTTTAAAGTCTGAAGGACAGCAACACGAAAGAGCATATCAATGTGGTGAAGAAAGGGAAGGGGTTGGCTTTTTAATTTATTTTTCTTCATCTTTTATAACAAGAAAGTATCTATATATACATATGTAAATATTTATATATAGATATATGTAGCTTTCTATATGTGTAGTAGGTTGGCTTTAATTTAATATACTTGATTCAAAAACAAAATGATCGAGTACAGAAGTGCCAAGCAGAACATAAAGCACCCTTACTTTTATTTCACACAGTTTTATATATAGGTAGAAGATTGTACAATTGGAGCCGGGTGTTAGGCCAGCTACTTTCCTTTTCCTGTGCTTTCTCCTTTGAGAGATTGACAAAGCATTTGTTAACGTCCTATTATTTACCTAATTACATTTTTGTAAAAGGAGTTTGTAACTTTATTTATACCTATGAATATATTTCCAGGGACTAAGTCTCATTGCTGAGCAGCTTTTACTACATCTCTGCTTGAGGAGAAAGTATAGTTACAGTGCTACTGCCAAGAGCTCGTTCTTGTGTTCATATAGTACCTGCACAAAGCGTACGGCTGCTTCATTCTGTTACTGTTACTTCATAACTAGGAGCCATTACGTTTATTAAATGTCCCTAGTACTTGTAAGTTTCAGTTGTGATTTCATACATAAAGGCCTGAAGCTATGTGAGGCAATCATAATTTATCTTAGACATTACTTAATGAAGAGTACCTGAAGTAAACACGTAACTGCATAGGATATCCATTTATTACTTGGGTAAATAATTTGTCATTAAACCTATATTTGAACCATAGAAATTCCCTTCTGAGTTTTTTGTCAAAAGACTTGGAGCTAATACAATACACAGGTGATATTTAATGTGCATGTATGTATCTAAACACCCACATATATTTGTTATTTAAATGGAAGAAATCCTACTCATCTGTATGTTGCAGAAGAGCTAAATTTTATCCAAATTTATACCTCTTGAATTTCTTCACCATAGAGCATAAGGAGTGCATGAGGTATTCTTTCTTGATTTGCCCATATTCGTAATGGATAACTTAATAAATTTGTGTGATATAAAAGTAGTGTTACCATGTTCTACCACTTGTTATTGTCCCTTCCCTTTTCTGCAAAGGTACTGTTGGCTGGAAGAAAACATTTTGGTTAGCTTTCTAGGACAGTAGTCTTTCCCTATGTAGATTTTCAACAAAAACTGATTTTATAGTCATGAGTGGAAAAGGGCAGGTTGAATCAAGGTGAATGAATCTTAAATTGGGCACACCTGCCTGCCATCGCTGTTCCTTCAACTGAGTGCTGCACATCATGGGCTCTGTCTGTGAGAGAAAAATCTCGGTGCTTGGTGTCCTTGCATGACATGGAGTTTTGCATGTAGATCGATTTAAAAATGTACCTCTTGTTTACATAATTTGCATAATTTTAAAAGAAAACGTTGCCAAACTTTGGAAATGTTAATGTTCAGACTGAAAAATCTCCACTACATGTAACTTTCTTCCTCTGGATCAGTACGTGGCTTACAATCCCAGCCAGTGGTTTGATCTGTTCCAGTGTCAACTGCCATGTGCTCTGCTTCAAGGGGGAACTAGTCTTTTGTGAATTTTTTGTACATAAGTATTTGTTACAAATATTTTAGCAAATGCTTTCTATTTCTCTTGCTTGTGCATATCTTGGCTGGCGTTACAGAAAAATAGTGCAAACATTATTTCCTTACTGGGGAATGAGGGGTTTTTTCCTTTTTTTTTTCCTTTTTTTTTTTTTTTTTTTTTTTTAGTGTGTATGGGTTGGGGGGAGGGATGGTTTATGTTGAATGTTTAGTTTTTCTTCTGCATGAAACGTCATGTTGTGGGAATCTTTAGAAAACTTCCTACTGTATGAATAAGAAAATAAAATATTTGGAACTTGAGTGTATTTGCAGTGGTCTTTGGTGGGCTTCCAGTCAAAAGGGGCTTTTTTTTTTTTTTGGATGGTTTCTAAAAATCTGACAAACTGGTGTTTGATCTTTGTAATGCATAGGTAAAAATAAATCTGCTTTATCACTGGGTAAAAACACAAGTCATTACAACTTACAAAGAAAGCCCTATCTCACTCTCATACTGCTCCTCATACCCTTCCTTCCTTTGCTTCCAGCCTCTAAGCCTCCTTGGAGTTCCTGGAGCCCTTGGCTGATTTCCTGTACAGACCTTTGCAGCCTCTTCCCCCTACAGCTAATTAGATGTCCCACAGCTAATCCCTCCCAAGTCTTTGCTCAAGTATGTCCTGGCTCAACAGGAACTCTCCTGGCCACCCTATTTAAATATATGACTATACCAGAACCTCCCTCATCTCACTTTTTTTTTCTCCAAAAGCATTTAACCTCTTCTGATATAATACACTTACGTATTTTATATATTTCCAAATTATGGAAATAAAATGAACAAAAGCTCCACAAGGGCAGGGATTTGTGTCCCTTCTTTACTAGTAGCCTTGGTTTAGAATTCTGCCTAGCCTTTAATAAATTTTTAGTACTTTGTTACTCTTCAAAAGGTAAAAATTAGTATTTTGCTTAAGACTTTAAATTTTGTAGTTTCTACTACAATGCCTAGCACTATAATAAGGACTTGAAATACTTGGGCCAGGTAAATAACACACCTGGCCCACATGAGTTACAAACTGTTGGGCTGTTTTATACCCAGAACACCCATATGGTCAGCTATGTATTCGGTAGAAGATGTTACACACTGGATTCTTTGACCCTTTAGACTGTCCTAGTATAGAATTAGTTAAGCATAAACCAATAGATTCATTTAGGTCCTAGTTCCTTTCTTCACCAGGCTCTAATGCTCTTAAGAGTAGAAAAGATTACAGAGTAAAAGAGCACCCCACAGAATTGGAATAAATACTTATAAATCATTTGTAAGACGTTACTGTCCACAATACATAAAGAACTCAGCAACAACCTGATTTTAAAAATGGGCAAAGGATTTTATTTCTCCAAAGAATATATATGCCCTGCCCAGTTGGCTCAGTTGGTTGGGTGTTGGCCTGCAAAGTGAAAGGTCACCTGTTTAATTCCTGGTCAGGGTACAGGTCTGGGTCACAGGCACAGTGCCATCGTGTGTATGAGGCAACTGATTAGTGTTTCTCTCACATTGATGTTTCTCCCCCCCCCTCTAGAAATTAAATGATAAAAATACAAATGGCCAAATTACACATAAGAAAAGCCTCAACATCACTAGTCACTATGGAAATTCAAATCAAAACTTTTGAGATACCAGTTCATACCCAGTAGCACTGCTGGCATGATAATGGAGAAATTAAAACACTTCCATTGCTAGTAGCGGTGGCTGTGGAAAATAAAACTTGATTACTCAAAAAAAAAAAAAAAAATATATATATATATAAACAATTACCACGTGATCCAGCTATTGCACATACAGGTACACACCAAGGCTAAAAGCAGGAACCCTCACGTTTCGTACGCCCACATTCATGGTAGTATTCTTCAGTCAGTAAGGAAAACTAACTGAAATGTGCGTGACTATACACACGTACTATGCACTGGAACGAATGTTCAGCTTAAAAAGGAGGGAAATTTTGACATACTTACAATGTGGCTGAACCTTAAAGACATTATGCTAAGTAAAATAAGCCAGTTACAAAAACAACAAATACTGTATGATTCCCCTTCTGAGTTCCTGGAGTTGTCAAATTAAAGACAAAGTAGAATGGTGTCAACGGCCAGGAAGAGGGGTGAATGGGGAGTTAGTGTTTCATGGGTAGTTTTAGTTGGGGAAGGTAAAGTTCTGGAGATGGTGATGGTTGCACAGTAATGTGAATGTACTTTATGCTACTGAAGTGTACACCTAAACGTGGCCAAAATGGTAAACGTTATGGACTTACCACAGTTTAAAATAAACAAGATAGTGAAAATAAACCTCAATCTTTCTGGAGAGTTGCCAGGACTTGTGTTTTTCAAACTCCTGTGCCTGAAAATATTAATCTTAGTCTTCAAAAATTCCCCCATGCTCAACAACTCATTGCATTAACTAACATTTCAGCTAAAGTCCTTTGCAACTTCAACCTTTCACTTCCCTTGGTCATTATAAATCTATCAGCTAACCAGATCAAATTAGCAAGTCCTTGCTCTCTCAAACCTAAAGATTTACTTGTTTTCTTTGACCAAATAAGTAACACTGGCACAGTATGAGCATTTTCCAAGTTTTAGGATGGTTGTATACAATACATTGTCGCTGTGTATGCTCAGTAATCTAACATTAAGCATGCTGGCCCAACCTTAGCATGGCTGAGATCAGGAATTAGGTATCTTTCCCAGATGCTTAATGAACATGAGCTTGCTTCTCTTCCATCCCAGTTCTAGGTAGCATGAGATGAAACCCAGATCTTCTGTAATGACTAAGAAACACCTCGGTCTTTTCCCTTATCAGCCACTTAGTAGGAAAATACTCCTCAGGCCCATTCTTCAGCCAGTATGTAAATTGTTGTGTCAGAAACTGCAAGATACTGAGTATCCAAAGGAGAAAGGCAGACATAATTACAGTAGAGCATGACAAATGCCATAGAAACATGGATATGCATGGCTAAGGATGAGGTATTAAAGTGTCCAGGCCTTATAGAAAGCTTTCAAAATGCTCTGATCCAGGTTGTTAAAATCAACTATCACTGTGACAGATTAGTCAGATTTACCTGTAATTCTTTGTCATTCCCATTCCAAAAATCAGTTGGGTTTCCTCCAACATTTTGCCTCTCTATCAAACCCCAAATAGTACTGATCCCCTAGGGAGGACGAAACCAAGGAGGTGCCCAAGACTCAAGATGTAAATAAAAGTTCAGTGTTTTAAGTTTTATGAGTAAAGAGACCTACTACTATTATATACTCTCTTCATACTGCTGTGTTGCCGGAGGATAAAAAATTATTTTGGAAATTTTTCCAGCAATTTCCCACTGGATCCCAACCATTTAATATAACCAGTCCCATGCACCGTATAAAGTTGTTTGGGACAGTGACACATGTAACTGACATCAGGGAAACATGCTTAATAAGAATACTTTTTCTGGTTCTTACATGAACTTTCAAATGCTCCATTAAAGAGTTTTGGTCGGGTTCTAGAGATGTACAAGCAAATGTATCACACAAGTTTAATGAAGTGAGTTCTTACATTTAAAAAATGCATAAACTGAATCAGATAATATTTAAATAGGCAGGCACTAGTTAAAACAATGTATTACATTTGAAGAACATTTTCTTAGGTTTAAGAACGTTGTTCTATCATACTTGACTACTTAGAAGAAACCCAACACATACACTTTTATAAAAAACATTCTTTCCTCCTGTCAACCTTGTGATACAGGCCTTTAATTTTAATTTTACAAGTAGTAAAACAAGTACAAAGATTGGCCTTTTTGGTTCACACAGTCCAGCCAAACTGCTGCTTATGAATGACCTGACTGTAAAACAGTGACACGCCCCTCAGTATTAAGGGCTATGATTCAGAGAGGTTTTCTGAGATAAGTCTTTAATTACAACTCAGAGAAGAAATATTCATAAATTTGTAAGGAAAAAACTTGTAAATTCATATAGAAAAAGAATTTTCCCTCCAAATGAGAGAAGTAAAAGTATGCAAATATACTACATGTAATTTAAAATGGAAAAAAGGTAAGTTAATGTTAAGTATAATCATGGTACTGAAGTTTGATACTTAAATTATACTCAAAGCTGTTGAATGAATATTGTCAAATTTTTCCTTTTTGTTTATTCTTCTGGCTGGGAACTGAAGAAGGGATGTAGGCTTGAAGTGACTGCAAAATCCTTCTCATGGCTTCTTGTGACCACTTATAAAGGGTAAGGTCTTTAGAGTCCAAAGACAAAAGTCTCTGATTTGAAATCAAAATCGATCTGCTGCTCTGCTAGCCACAGCTCGAATATTGCCATAAACCTTTGATGGAGGATTTCCTGTAGAGAAGAAAAAAGCTAATTTAGCTACAGAAATATACTGATATATATAGAAGCTCCACAGAAAATGGTCTACAAAACTCTAAAAAAGAACAGAAAATTTTCCATTGGATCTATCTTAAATCAAAAGAAAGACTAAAAAGGAAACCATACCATACCTAAATAATCTTTTTAAAAAACCAAATTTAAATCCTAAGAGCCAAAATATTTCAAAAAGACCTGGGCATCAAGGGAGAATCTTAGGAGTGTAGCAAATGGCTACACTCCTGTAACTCTTGTCCAAAGTTACTGACTCTGCTGTCCCATGTGAAATGGGACCAAGTGGATTAAACTGACCGATGTTGATCAGCAGCTCCCTTTTTGCTAAAAAGTGGCTTTTCTGTGCACCTCATCAGGGGAAGGCAGCAAAGATTTAAGTAATAGAAGCCAATAAAGCCTTTCTCTTCTCTAACAGGCATGAAATCCAAGTAAAAGGATTCCTACCTTCTCTTAGTCCCACAAAGAGTTGCCAATCCCCAAGAGTTTCTATTTGCTATTTAACATTTCCATAAACTGATGGACAAATCTGGTTTCATCTAGATACCCTGTTCCTTACTTTCCAAAGAAAATACCAAAGAAATAAACTGCTACTACCCAGGATGAGGTTACAAATGGCAGTTCTTGCCATCTTGATGTTTTGGAAAGAGCCAAGGATGTGAACTTTCCTGCAAGAAAAGAAGTGAGACAAATTAGCAACAAAAAGCATTTCCTTAAACTAAGACCTATAATGCAGAAACTCTGAAAAATCATGATACAGATTCCCAGTAAGGGTTGTGATGATGGTTGCAAAACTCTGCAAATATGCGAAGAACCCACTTTGAAAGGGGAATTTTATGTTTATTTTGTCAAAACAAACAAAAAAAACTACAGTCAAACCTTGGTTCTCAAACGTCTCACATCTTGAACAAAACTTTGGTTCTCAACCCGACAACCCTTTCATACTGATACCTGTATGATCAAGTTACCTGCGTGATTTGGTTTTCGAACAAATTACTTCTCAAACAGCAAGAATATGTAAAGTGTCAGTTTTCCTACTAAAACAATGAAAGTAATGAGGCAGTGGTTGGAATGGAATGTAGGTCCCAGGATACATGGGCAGCATGATTTCCCATCTGATATACTGAGTGTATCGGGAACAAATAGTTTTCAGCTTTTTATCTTGCTCACATTATACTGTATTTTGCCAAATTAGAAGCTCATCAAAAATAACACAGGTATGTAACAGTTCACTTTACGGTTTTATTGTAATTAATATAAACTGTTCAACTTGTAGGTTTCCAATTAGCCTGTTCATAGCAAAAACTATGAAATAGTACATTTCTTTAATTTTGAGTAGTGTAATTCTATTTGTAAAAACAAAAACAAAAAACAAAACACAACCACACAAGATATAAAATAATTCAATAGCAACATTATTGATATTAGTACAAAACTGAAAACAATCCCAAAACTGAAAACTTTCCCCACTAACTGTGAATGGATAAACAAAATGCAATATATCCACATGATGGACTGGTACTTGGCAAGAAAAAGGAATTACTAATACATCCAAAGAAATGAAGAGACAAAAACAGTATGTTGACTAAAAGAAGCCAAACACCAAAGACTATATACTGTGAATTTCTAGAAAAGGCAAAACCATAGTGACACAAGATATTAATTAATACGTGTGAGAGGTGGGGCTGCAAAGACGCACAGAGAACTTTTGGGGTGGCAGAGCTGTGTGAGTGAAGGGGGCTGCAGGACTGGAACCTCTGCCCAAAACTCACTGAACTATATACTTAAAACATGTGAATTCAATTGTACATAAATCATACAGCAATAAGGCTGTTAAAAAAAATTAATTCAACTAGTAAATCTGAACTTATACACTTACAAATTTAACATGATGTACTACCCATAATCTGATTAGCAAATCAGTTACATTTTTAGATTTCCAAATTAAAAAGCTAAATACAATATTTCATTTTATTACTTTTTTAAATTCTTGACCGAGGATACATTTATTGATTTTAGAGAGAGAGAGAAACATTGATGGTTGTCTCCTGTACACGTGCTGACCAAGGGTCGAACCGGTGACCTTTTGGTGCACAGGACAATGATTCAACCAACCGAGCCCACCGGCCAGGGCTATATGTGATATTTTAAAAACTTTCCCCCTGGCTCCCTACTCCTAACTCTAGACTCAATTCATAAAAGATCAAAATTATAATACACCTGTCCTCAGGTAAAGAGGGCCACCAATGTAGTATCATAGTTATTCTTGGAAGTATAAAAAATATTAGAGCCCCTCAGTTTAGAGCAAAGATGAGACAACTTGAAATAAAATTATTTCTGGATTCAGTAGCAGGCAGATCCCTCCCCTCCTCCTCTGAGCTAACTGCTTCATTTCCCAACTCCATGGCATTATGTAATCTTTGAGCCAACAGCCAGTAATCCCAACCTAGCAATGGAGCAGCTTCAATCTCACAGAGGGGCAATCCCAGCTTGAATTCCTGCACCCTTACTTTTAAGTCCATATCATCTTATTTACGTTCACATTGACTGTATCCTATAGTTTTCACCCAGTGTGCACTAATCACCTTCCTTTTAACAAAGGACTTTATATATATATATATTAAAAGAATGCCTCACAGTGGTATTTAAAAAACCCACTCGGCGCCCTGGCCAGGTAGCTCAGGTGGTTAGTGTCATGCCAGTATGTCATGGTTGTAGGTTAGATCTCCTGTCAGGACACATACAGGACGCAACCAAAGAACACATAAATAAGTGGAACAATCTGATGTTTCTCTCTCTGTCTCCCTTCTCTCTCTCTAAAAACCAATTTTAAAAAAACAAATAAACCAAACCACTCTTCCCTTTACTCTACCGACCTAATAGATTCCTACGAGATACTATTTAAATTTTCACCTGTCATGTGATTTCTTTTAATAATGGTTCAAAACATTTCCTTTGTTGCTAATCGAGAAAAAAGATAGAATTTCTAAGATTTTCCTAACTTAATCTGCTTTTGAAGTAGGCAACTACCTATTCATCCAGAACCATATGCTTACAAAGATTTAGTGGGAATATTATGCAAAAATACGTTTATGATCTTTTAAAACCAGCAAAAGAGCAAATATAAATTACAAGTTACTTTCTCAAGATCACATACTTACACATCAGCTAAAACTATCCGCGTCCGTGTCACATTCTCTATGGTGAACTTGGTTTTTCCTCCTCTGCCAGCGATTCTTCCTATTGCCCTTGACAGGTGATCTCCCTTTAGGGGCTTCACTAAATAGGAAAAGGAAGATCTTAAGAAGCAAGCCATTCCAGTACACCGTCCACTTCCACATCAAGTTCAATCACTAATAAAATTTCCTCACTAACAGACACGGAATACGGTTTTTTTAAAAAAGCTGCTAACAATAGAGCTCAATTGATGCTATTAGAAAGCTGAGAGTCACAAACAAGAAAGTCAGCAATTCAAAAGTACAGTATTTCATAATAAAAGACCACCATACACTCACCATCTGTAATTTCAAAAGACTCTAAGAAGAGATCATCCAGCCTAATGAGGGCAAGTGCATCCTACAATAGAAAAATAAATACTGTGAAGTCCTTCCATTTAGATACCTCAGAATGACTGTCAAGCTATAATTCACAAACAGCAGAACTAGAAAACTCAAATTAGGAAAAGAGCCCCAACCCACTGAAACATTCATACTGAGTATTTGTCAAGCCTCCATTTCAGATGTCATTAAGTTACTCACCTCCACCTGAAACCCGAGAATAAAGGCTTTCACGAAATCAGCCGCTTTTGTCAGCGCACTAACATCCTTGGTTTCTTTACAAGTCTGTTTTAAAAAAGGCACAAATTATAGGTGGGGATGAAAAATACTCTAACAGAATACTAGGAATGATCTTTCCCTTCACTGCAATTTCCTTCACCACCACCCTCCCCCAATGTACTCGCCATGACCCAGTTTTTGCTGAAGCACTGTGGTTAATTTGCAAAACAAAACTTTCCCAGATCCAGAGGTAGAGAGCTCCACCAAAAGACCGTCCAATGACCGACTGTCCTCAAAGACTGAGCTGACTTGGGGGTTAACAGCGAGACTCCTCCGGCACAGCCCAACTGCACTCACACTGGACTTCAACGTTCTCAGACCGTCCCGTCAACACCCAAGCTAGTCCTCTTCTCTTCTCTTCCCCTGCGGCCTTCCCTGCAAGTCATGATCTCCTGACTTCAGTCACCACTTATGTGCTGATGCGTCCCACAGCAACAGCTCCAACACTAACTACCAAGAATGGGTTAAGGAGTTTATTTGAATATCACAGAAATAGCAGCTATTCATGAAATGCGTAGCACTATAAATGACATGTGCTACAAAGGTGCTTAACGTACTGTAGCTCTAAGCTTCATGGCAACCCTGAATATTAAGTGATATAAAGGCTTTCATATTTGAGGTAATTAAAGTACTAAAAGGTAAAATGGTATGATCAGAACACAGGTCTGAGGGCAAAACTGTCATTTCCTCTATCCCACACAGACCCGCAATTTGAGGAGATGACGTATGTGACAAATTTGAAACCACACAGGGTTGTATAATGGAACATTTAAAACCAGATCCCAGTCGCAATCCTATATGTGACCTTGGGCAAGTCCCACAGATACTGTAGGTCTTCATCTGTAAAACAAGGAGGTCAGAGAAGGAGATCCTGAGAGGTCCCTACTAGCACCAAGACTGACTCATCAACTTGATGACTTTGGCCAAGAAACTCCTATGACCCTCAGTTTCCCCACATCCGGAAGAGGGGGATATGTCATGTACCTCACAGGGCTGTCCTGAGGACCAAAATGATGTGGTGCATGTTAAAGCACCCCTCTGTGTCTGGCACATAACTGTATCGACAATGTTTGTGGAACCCAAATTGATGCTGCTACAATACCTATGACAGCTAGGCACAGCAAGAGTACAGACATCGAACACAGGACTGAAAAATGGATTGATCACAAAGGAGAAAGAACTTGAGCTAGACCCTGGAAGGTGAATGGAACTGAGGTAGGAAGACAAAGGGTGTAGGGAGGGGGGCCTTAGAGAGGTAAGACATCTGTATGTAGGGACATAAAAACGTTCAAAAAGACAGTGAGGTGACCTTGGGACTGGGACTCCTACTTGAAAAGTTCAGTCAAAACTTAACTCTTACCCTTCAGTGACACTGAAGATGCCAGGATATCATAATAAAAGCAGTGTGGTCTGGGAAAATTAATCTGGCTCTGGCACTGAGGATGAAGTGGTGAAAGATGATGTAAAGCAATGAAACAAGGGAAACCTACCAGGAAACAGGTTTTGGCATGAAACCGTAAAAACTGGAATGAAAGTGGCAATGAAGTCGCCTGTCTAGTTCTGTACTTTAAACTTTACCAACTATTTAGAGTGGCGCCTCTCAGCTTTATTCCATTATTCTAGTCCCTCAGCGGAGATGAGTCTATACCAATTCTGATGACAGTATTAACAATCCTCAAAAAGGAAGATTATAATTAATTTTGGCCTTTGATTCTGATACGAAATTGGCACTCAGAAAAAGAAGTCCAAAGTCAACTAATTTTAATTGTCTAACTCCTGGTTGACACCATGGAATGCAATATATAGAGGTATACGGACATATAAATATAGATAGTATAACAAGGATATGTATGTATAAAACATACTTATTTCTAAAACAATACACTTTCCCTCAAAAGAATACCATTAAAATTTATACTGCCTGTTCTGCAGCAAGTACTTCATTCAGTTCATTATTTACAAACTTCTGTTTATGACAACCTCTTCACTTGGCCTTTTTTCAGTTCAACACCAAACACTGTAAAAAATATGCAAAGGCATAACCAGTATTTTGATACGATTTCAGACTCAATTTATGAGTTCAACTAATATACGTGTTAAATGCAGACTCTGAGGGCATTTGAGAAGTGCAAATTCACTAAGTTAGAAAATTGGAAGACAGCCGTTTAACAAAAATCAGTCCCACCGAGGAAAGTCTATTCATCCATTTTCATCCCTGCAGGAGAAACCCTAGTATATTTGGAAATGGTTGGAATTCTTACCCTGATTTCTACATTCCTCGACTTCAAGTTAAAGCGTATCTGAAGTCCCAAATGTTCTACAACAGGAGTAAATATCTTCAACCAGTTCTCTTTTAATGGTGTGTATCTGTGAGCTGGCACTGGAATTTTCCTCGTTTCTGCTTTCCCGTCCTACAATAAAAGACCACACAACTAAGATGTCTGGAGTTACGGGGGTTGAGTTAAAATAAAAAAAAAAATGACACCTGAACCCCTCCCCGCCAACACACACACAAAGCTTCCTTTATCTGAACGAATCAAACTTCACCGGCGTCTCCTCTCTAAGAACTCACGCCAGAAGAGCCCCTGCAGTTTCAACATCACCCAGAGAACTCGAACTTGACCTCCCTCTGGCCTCTACTCTGTTCCTGTCCCACGGTCCCCCCCAGTACCAGGATCCCATCCCCGGAGAGGGGAGGAAAGACGGGCCTCTTGGCGGGCCGGGCCTCCTCCGTGTCCATGGGACCCGCGTCCCCGCCTTCCCTGGCTGCAGACAGCTCTTCAGCCTGCCGCTTCTTGGCTCGCCGGCCACCCTTGCGAGTGACGTGAGTGAAACCGTCCTCGACCCCGGAGTTTTGTAACTCCATTTCAGAGGCCATGCTCAGGAACTTCCAGCCACAGGGGGGAGGGGATCTTCCAGCAGGAACACGTGCGCAGTTGCACCGCGCAGGCGCACCTCGCAGGCTCCAGAGTCCTCCAACCAGTACTAGGGCTACGCTCCCTTTCTAAGAAGTCCCCACGCAGGGGACTTGAAGCAGGATTTTTGTTGTGTGTTTAATAGGTAGGACATAGGGCTGTTCTAAAATATGCCGTATTCTTGTGGTCTTCTTGCCCTGCCACTCACAGCTACGACATTTCGTGATCTCTAATCTGTATATGGGTTAAATGCAGTCGGTAAAGGCCACAAACAAGTTTGTGCCATCGGTGAAGAAATGTCTTGTGCGATCTCAGTAGGGCATCTGGCATTATCCGAGACAACTAAATCCAATTTGCTAGGGCGCCAGGGTGCGAATACGGCAAGCGGGAGGGACAAATTGTCCTTAATGTTTTGAGTCTGGTTTCCAGGTTAGAGTTTTGTCAGGGTGGGAAAGTATCGGTTCGCGGAGGAGAAGTCGCGCGAACCATGTCGGCCTTCGAGAAGCCTCAGATCATTGCCCATATCCAGAAGGGCCTCAACTACACAGTGTTTGACTGTAAGTGGGTGCCGTGCAGCGCCAAATTTGTGACCATGGGCAACTTCGCACGGGGCACCGGCGTCATTCAGCTGTACGAGATCCAGCACGGGGACCTAAAGCTGCTTCGGGAGGTGGGTGCTAGGTCGAGACTGCGGAGTTCCAGGATCTGGGAGTACCGTTGGGGGGCAAGTGCGGATCCTGGGGGTTTGCATTCCTTTCTGCCAAAACCTGCGTACAGTGTCCCTCAAACGCACAGCTCGAGCTGCGCGGGAGTAGCCAAGTTGATCGCAGGTTGAGGAATACTTCTAACGTAAAATGCTTTCGGTCGAGTCCTGAATTCTCAGCGGGCTATTTCACCCGCGCCCTCCCAGCCCCGTTCTCCAGCCACCCCCGCAGTCAAGAGCTAGGTCAGTGGAAGTATCGTTACGAATTCGGATCTAAATTCGAGGCCTTTCGGGGCAGTGCTCAGTTTGTGGAAAGTCTGTTAATAGGCACGTGTTAGTAAAATGCTTTTTCATACAAGCAGAGCCGAAGCAGGCTTCCGTATGCCTGTATGCCTGCAGTGTAATTGGAGACCACCTATCATTTATTCTTTCAACAGCTATCAATTGATTGCCTGGTATTCCCAGGCCTTGAATGACCATCCCCGATCTCATGGAGTTTTCTGGTGGGAGAGAGAATCAGTTAAATAATCAAACCAACGATGCAGAAATACAGACCACGATAAATTCTCAAACAAAAAAACACGGTTTTCCGAGAGTAGAAACAGATTAGGGATTGGAAGAAACTGTTCTGGCCCGAACTAGGAGTAGAGGAGGAGGTTTCCAGTGGAAACGGCCTAGAAAGCTCAGCGGTGGGAGAAAGATTATCTTCTTAAATAGAAGAGGTAGGCAGGGGCCAAACATTGCTAGATCTGTAAGTCATTTAAAATTCATGCCTTTTTTTTTCCCCCTAAGAAAAACAGGACATCATTGAAGGGCTTTAAGCAGTGTGTGGCATGATCAGGTATACAAGTTTTATAAAGATTGCTAGTGAAAGAATTTAGGAATAATGCTGTTAACTAACATTTTTATACCTTTTTACAGTTTTAAAATGCCTTGATTTGAGTTACCTGAAAAAAAAAAAGATCATACTCAGGTGTATGATAGGGTTGCAGTAGGCTGCAGGGAAAGTTGACAACTGCAGGGATCAAAAGCTATAGAGAGAATCTGCTTGGAGGGATCGGAGGTTAAACTGGTAAAGGAGGAATATATTTTCGATAGGAAAGCTTAGATTAAAAGGTAAGTTGGGCTCTATTCCACTTTAAATTTCTGTGAGTGCCAGTTTTCTTGTTCAGTTTAACTGTCTTCTGTAGTCAGGGACTCTACTCAGAGTAAACATGGCTTGTTCTTTTCTGTTTCCTTAAATTGCTCACCAGTTCATCACCAGTCACCTATTGCAGTTCTGAGGTCCAGTCAGGTTATTTGATATACAAGGGCGGATCCCCCAAAACGGAATTTATTTATAAAAAATAAATAAATTTATTTTTTTATTTATTCTTACGTTTTTAAACTTCAGTCACCTTCAGAGTACTCTGCATATGATGCAATATACCTACTGAGACATGTTTCCACTGCTCAAAACTGCTTTTGAACTCGCAATTTTGATGCCTTTTAGTGCTTCTGCCATTTTTTTGTTTTACTTCCACGTTTCTCTTTGAGGACCTTTTTCCTCTGGGGAAACAAAAGAAAGTCACTCGGGCAAGATCTGGTGAATGGGAAAGATGGGGCACAGTGTGGGGAGGTGATGTCGTTTTCTGGTCAAAACCTACTGAACACTAAGTGGGGTGTGGGCAGATGTCCTGGTAAATCACCCATCATGAAATGGACAAATGTGTTAAAAGAGTCTTCCAAAAAAAAAACACTGAAGCAGAACACAGCCTCTCACAACACCACCAGCTGGTACACTGACAGATGGGTTTCTAGAACACTGACCTAGAATGGGAAGCCTGTACTACAAGGGGCCCGCCCTCCAGAAGATAATTCCAGTTCTGGTAAGGTACCCACCTCACATGAATTCCCTTCCTGATCCCCACACATTGCATTTTCTTACATTGCATTCTTGTAGTACTTACTGTCTGTACCTAAAATATATCATTCTGTCCCATTAATCTCTAATTAGATTGTAAGCTTCTGGAAAGTAAGGACAGTGTATTTATTTACATGGTATGTAAGGAGCAGTAACTCAATAAATATACTTGTTAAAAGAACGAGTAAATGTATATCTATAAAGGATATAACGGGTGATTTTTTTTCTTTCAGTTTTATTTGTATTGGTTTCAGGTGTACAGCTCAATGGCTAGACAATCATATACTTTACGTAGTGTAATTTGGGTAATTTAAATATTAGCTTACTGATCATTTGATTGGGGTCAGGAGTTTAAACAAATGGGAAACACTAGAATAACAGAAATTTAAAGGTGAAGTATTAAGAAAAAATACCAATCGAAGCTCAACCAGAGAGCATCTACAGACTTGTGACTGCCTTTTTATAAGACTGAATGATTTGTGTAAATTTCAGGAATACTTTTGTTCCATAAAATGAAATAGTGCTCTTTGGCTCTTCTAGAGATTATGGAGAATTCTAACAAATTTTTGAAATAATTTTGCTTTTTAGCAAAAGTAATTGTAAATTGTGTTCATTGTAAAACATTTTAGAAATATAGATAGGAAAAAATATCACCCATGATCTTAACCCTCAGGGTAACCACTTTTTATATTTCACTTGTACCTCTTGCAGCGGTGGCGCCATCTTCTTTTTTTTCTTCTTCCTTTTTTTTTTTTTTTACCATAAACTATCTATGGAGGACCAAAGGTATTTGAAACATGTGTCCTTTCTCCTAAAGAACCTGCCATCTAAAGAGAGGATAAACCAAATGCAGAAACATGTAAGAATTTGCATTGGAATTGGCAGTAATGATGCAATGGAAAAGAATATAGACTAAGTACAAGCTCAATGATTCTCAGCTCTTACTGTGCATCATGATCACCTGAATGTGTATTGTTGCTGTTGGTTGGTTGGGTGTGTGTGTGTGTGTGTGTGTGTGTGTGTGTGTGTGTGTGTTTTAAAATATTCATGCCTTGGTCCCACCTCCAGAAGTCCTGACGCACTGGCACTCTTGCATCTAGACTAGACTGCAGTTGAAAATAAGTATTTTTTCAGTTTCCACCAGGTGATTGTAATGAGTACCAGGGTTGACTACAATGGGGCTAGATGAATTATTTTATTAAAATAGTAGGAAACATACCTGATTCTATCATTGTGGGACCTCCTCAAGTCATGTACTCCAAAGCCTGTGCATCCAAGTTAAAAAATAAGGAAGAAAATGGGCCTTTGTTGGTGCCGTCCTTATTTTGTGACCAAAGATAGATGGGGAGCTAGGGCAGGGCCTCCCTGTGCAGTTGAACAGTTGGTTGCGTCACCCCAGGGGGTCTGGCCAGCAGTTCAGTGAGAGCTGCAGTCCGTCTCTTTCCTCACGCCTTTCTGTGTGAGACTTCATCAGCCTGCAGAAGGCACCTTATTTTCCTAATTGGTCCAAAGGACTAAGGGTAGCCCTGAAAAATGGAACTGTAGTTGGAGATATTTATACTTTAAAATTTAGTAATAAGCTAATACAGTACTGCCTTTTTAGCCCCTGTGGCACTGAATTCACTGCTTGTTAGCATTTGGTTGACTAAACCTTTTAATGCTAATTAAGTAGTGCCAGGATGTGGAGGAGGAAATACTGACAAGCTGTATTAGATTCACTCACAGACAGAACAAAAATAGCTCTCACTGGAATTACCTATCATGGTCTTTTTAATCGTGTTAACTTATTGTAGCAAAGAGAACCAACATCTGGGTCAAACATGACCATCATGGATGGTCATTTTCACTATCCTATAGCAAAAGGTAATATATACTAATTATCATTGTATATCAATTTCACGAAGTAGAGCTGCTGCTGCTGTTCCTTTTTTTTTTTTTTTTTTTTTTTTTTGTAATTCTCACCCAAGAATGTGTTTATTGATTTGATTTTAGAGAGAGAGGAATGGAAGGAAAGAGAAACATCAATCGGTGGCCTCCCATACATGTCCCTGCTGGGGATCAAAGCCACTCCTACTGGAGGTCAAACCTGCAACGTTTTGGTGTCAGGGACGATGATTAACCAACTAAGCCACCCAGGCAGGTTTTCTAGCAAGAAGAATTTTAGGTAATCACTGAATTCTTTTTATCTTTTCTTTTTAAAAGGTAAAATATTTAATGGGGCATTTTTTTATGAACTATATAATATTAGCTTCACTCCAGCATCCTCTTAATTTAGCTGCTATTATGATTTCTGTGAATGTCTCTGGAAGGAGAAAACACTGATGCTTTTTTATATTTTTTAAGTTTTATTATTATTTTTTTAAATCCTCATCCGAGGACATTTTTTTTTCATTGCTTTTGGGGCAGAGAGCAGAGAGAGAGGGGAACATTGATGAGAGAGAGAGGGGAACATTGATGAGAGAGAGAGGGGAACATTGATGTGAGGGAGAAACATCGTCCGAGCCCCAACTGGGGATCAAACCCTCAACTTGGGTATGTGTCCTGACCTGGAATTGAACCCTCAGCCTTTTGGTCTAAGGAACAATGCTCCAACCAACTGAGCCATCTTGGTCAGGGCAAAACACCCTTGCTTTTGTTAAGTCCATTTGTCAGAACAGCTCATCCCTGTTCTGGGATACAAAGTACAGTCCTCCTTGTGCAGATGTTTATACATTTGAGTTTATTTGTTAATATGTTTATATATTTTGAGTTTAATTTGATTCTTGTACAACATGAATGTCATATATTTCTATCTTGTAAAGATATGAATGAAGGTAATAACCAAAAGACACAAATATGAAAGCACCATAGATTTAGTTCATGCTTTTACCTCACAGTTCATTTCAGGATTGGAACATTTCTTTGGTATTTCTAATGACTCAGGTTTACAGATGGGGGGCTATATAAAAAAAATGTTTATTTGATTGATACACATGTAGGCCTGGAGTCAGCCTAATGTAATAGAAAGAGCTTGGAGACTACCTGGTTCTAGGAACCTTGGGCAAGTCTCCTAATCTTCTGAACCTGGTTCCTTATCTGGCAAGGGTCTTCCAAGCGCTTAGTTTGCAGTTGCATGTGTTAGAAAGAGAAGGGATGGTCTGGTCTAGAAAACATCCAGAACAGTATCTGACATGTAGGTGTTCAGTTTATGGATTCTGTCTTCATTATTGCACACAAATGACATTGGAAACTGTATGTCACGTGAAAACGTGGGAGAAATGGGAATGCAAACTCTAGCAGTGGTTCCTCCCTCCATGCACTAGGACAGAGATTAATAGATAATCATTTATACTGTCATTTAACAAATGTTGAGCACCTGTTAGGTATAGAACAAATTGGACAAGGCCCCATTTCTGTGGTACTCATTCTAGAAAGGGAGGAGATAGATAATTGAAGGAATAAAATAATTTTTCTGGTAAATGAAGATTAAACAGGGCAAATGATAATGATTGGGAGTTCCACTTCAGATTGGAGGGGCAGGGAAGGCCCCTTGGAGAAGGTGACGTTTAAAATGAAATCTGAATTGGGACAAGGAAGACATGATCTAAGGGAGGAGCAGTCCAGGCAGTGGGAAGAGTAAAGGAAAATGCCCTGAGGTAGAAATGACTTTGGTGTGTCTGAAGAACAAAGAGTCAGGGAAGGGGAAAAGCGAGAGCCGCCAGATTTCAAAAGGCTTTTGTGTATTTTGTGTACCCCAGGTTAGGTGCCAACCCTGTGAGTCTGTGCCTGTAGATGTAGATACATTTTACTTCATTCCATTCCATTTGCAATAAACATCCACTTTTAGAATCTATGAAGTGACAAAATGAAACTAGTACACTGGCCTATCGTGTAATGGATATGCATAGCATACATAGTTCTCAGCTTGGTTTATTCTAAGGTGGGGATTCTCCTATGTGTTCAGGTGTCAGAACACCTGGTCATTGTGTTGCTGTTTGTGAAATATCATGAAATACTGGAATAGTCAGTTCCACCTCTGCACAGGGGTTTTTCCAGTAGGAAAATCTGACACTATTATATACATTGTAATCTTTACATCACAGGAAATTTCTTATCCTCAGTTGCAGGTTTTCTTGTTGGTGTTCATTTACTAGTACTATCTAACTTCAAGGGGAAAAAAAACAGCTTTAAAAAAATTATTACCTGTGCTCGCTTTGGCAGCACATACTAAAATTGGAACAATAGAGAGAGGATTAACATGGCCCCTGAGCAAGGATGACATGCAAATTCATGAAGCATTCCATATTGTTTTTAAAAGGAGGGAAAAAATTCCGTTGGTACCAGAAGATTAGTATAGTCCAGAAACACGGCTTGAGATTCTCTAATCCAAGGGCCCACAGGTGAAAGGTAAAGGAGTAACATGGGGAGCAACCTTTGTGCTTGCCAGGTTTTTGTGCCCAGCACTAAAGCCTTAGAAGAACAGTGTGCTCGCTGTAGGCACTGAAAAGCAGAAGTTAGTGTTTCTGTCTTCCGGGGCCTGGGAGGAAGACTGGAAACCCCGTCAGAGGCTGCAGGTGGTAGGCGTGGGATTATGGGAAGCGGGTGAAGGGCAGCGCGTGACCAGGCTTCCCAGTACTTTTCTGAGAAGAATTTCCACAGTTATTGCAATGTATGATAAGCTCTCCTTGGCCCCTAATCCTCTGAGTCCCTGGAACCATATTCTTGCCCATTAGGGCCCACCTCACTTTTCACCGACGGGCGCTCTGCACCCTCCGCCTGAGGCGGTGGGAGCCATTATCAATGACGTGGAGCAGGGGAGCCCCAGGCTCACTGAACAAACGGGCCGAGGGGCGGGGGTCGCTGGGACTTTGAGGCAAGACGGCTGCTGCCGCGTGCGGAGGAGTGCGCCCCGAGATCCGGCGGGCTAGTCTCCATTCGCTCCCCAAAGCCGCCTTCCCCCATCTCTCCTCAGGCGTCTGTGGCCCACTCTGCCCCCGCCTTTGCCAGAGACCGGGGAGATGAATGTGATGTATGTGCCCTTTGTTTGGATGACTATGAAGAGGGAGATAAGCTCAGAATCCTTCCCTGTTCCAATGCTTATTGCAAGTGTGTAGATCCTTGGCTAACTACAACCAAAAAAACCTGTCCAGTCTGCAAGCAAAACGTTTCTTCTCAAGGTGATCCAGACTCTGACAGACGGTGGTCAGGAAGAAAACGAAGTGTCAGAACATACCCCTCTACTTTGACCTTTGGCTTCTGTTAGCACCCAGTCATTTGGGGCTTTGTCAGAATCCCGCTCACATCAAAACCTGACAGAATCTTCAGACTGTGAGGAAGATGACAGTGAAGAGACTGACAATAGCGACGCAGAAAACGAGATTAACGAACGCGGTGTTGTGGTTCAGCTGCAGTCCAATGGTGAACAGGATTACAACATAGCAAATACTGTTTGACCCAATCAGAAGGTGATTGGGTTATTTCTCTTTAAAATGTTTATTTAGGTATATAATTTGATATTTTTTGCTCCCTTCACAGATTTCTGTAGAAATAACATTTTTTTAGTATTCTACACTTTAATCTTACTGAAACCATTTTTTAAAAATCTAATATTTATCTGGAGTATACTTCATTTTACTAATAAGTATTAACAGACTGGTGCTGTAATTCAAGCATCAAATCAACTCTTATTTTGGAATGAAATACAGCCAAAATATTAAAAAAAAATTTTTTTCTCAGTAGTCTAAGCCAACTCCCACCTCCATAAAGTTACCTAGAGTTGTTGAGTTGGAATGTTTGTTTTGATATTACCCCAAATTGCCATCATTAGGGAGGGACAACAAGGTAATTCAGCATTTTTCCTCCAATTGGCAGCACAAACTCAAAGCCACCTTTCCCCTTTCTGTTCCCGAGCAGTCTTACCCTGAAAGGAACAGTCTGTATTGGTGCAGATTTCAAGTTTTAAGGTTTCTAATACTATAGTATTATGTATGAAATTGATTCATCAGATAAAGTAATATGTCACTGGACTGAAGTTACTGAATTTCAGTATCCTTGAAGGTTTTGTGTTGTGATCAAAGCAAAAGGAAATGATGTACAAAAATACCAAACTTCAACTGTTAACACACAGATTGTATACCTCTTAATAAAGAGCATATTGTGCTAATTAGCCCTGCTAAACCATGTACAGAGGAAATTGTTCACATATTGGATTTGAAAATAGTCGCTTATATTTAGCAGAACTAATAATCTATTTAAACAATGTATTATGAAAAGCTAAATTATACATCATTGTAACTGTAGAAAATGTATAGACTTACGTATAATCAAAATGCTAAGAATTTTTATATGGTCTTGTATGAAGGGAGTTTGAATGTTAATAAACACATTTAAAAAAAAAAAGCTGGGACTTTGAATTAGTTTAACCATAGAAATTGTGTCCTAACAGTGGTAATGTGCTAGATCACTAGTAATATATAGTATGATTTCGGGTACTTTTATTTAAGGGAAGGCGAAGGTGGGGAGGACATAAGGGATTTGAAAACTGTCCACTTGGTTACATTGACAGAAATTTTTGATCCTCTGTGTTGCCACATTATAAGATACCCTTCTTTATAAAATTGGAAAAATAACTGAAATAATACCAGTCTGATACAGTGAACCTTCTGTGGTTCTGTGCTTCTCACCAATATTATCTTTTACAACCATGCTATTATAGATGGCTGATTCACTGGACAATTCCAAGGAGTTTGTCAACGCTTTACTTTATACCCGGCTACATAGTGACTGCTAATTTACATAGATCCCAAACCATAAAAAAGCTGAACAGGTTGAGAGTTTCCAGAGCTTTGTACCATATAACAATATCCTTTGAATCATGAAAAAAAATACTTGCAGTTTGTGTGAAGTGAATTTTCTTTTTCTTTGAAAGTTGTTGTGTATACCCTATACGGAAATGTCCAGCCAGACATTGAAAAGTGGCAGGGAAAATATTTTTTAAATTATATGAAACAGGGCAACCCTAATAGGAGGGAGGAAGATTGGCACAGGAGCTGAAGGGTTACCAGGGGAGGTGCCCTGGCACCCGGAGAACTCTGTGTCGAGGAAAAAAGTTTATCCGGATGTATTGGTCATTGGAAAGAAATCAAGTCAAAGGACAATTATTTGATGATCCTCTTCATATTGAAACAAACCTATGTGTGTTTGTAAGTGTATAGAAAAAGGTTGAGAAGGATGGGAATTCTGGGGAGTGTCAAAGGGAGACTAACTTTTTGCCTTTTTTGTTTCAATTTTTTAGAGGGAAATGTATTATTTATATAAATGTCAAGAATAAAAAAGTGTAAAGACTGTAGAGACCAAGAGGAATAGTTTTGCCCTTTTGAGGCTGACAGTAAATGGAAGGTGATACAAGGCTAGAGAGTGGTGGGGGACAGGCATCAAATCCTGGCCTCAGCTAATTCCAGATTGTCCAGTTTCCAGGGGCTGAGCCAGAGGAAGAGCAGACTCCAGGCAGGATGTCAGTGACCTGGGCGGGTGAGGCTGGGGCCAGCGGGGACTTTGGCGAAATTAGAAACATCAGGATGTAAGAGATTAATGAAAGACCCGCAGAGGTATGGGAGTAGGTGAGAGTAGTACAGGGCACGTGCGTATGTAGGAGGAGTCCGAGGAGAACTGACATGGTTTCATTATCCACGGTTTTGCTTTCCACAGTTTCCGCAGTCTGAGAATATTAAATGGAAAATTCCAGGAATAAGCAATTCATAAGTTTTAAGTTGCATGCCATTCCGAGTAGCATGATGATATCTCCTGCCATCCTACTCTGTCCCACCCTGGTATCTGCATTGTAGAAGCTCCCTGCTTGTTAGTCATTTAGTGGCCACTTTGGTATTAGATTGATGGTCTCAGGATCTCAGCATCACAATGCTTGTGTTCAAGTTATCCTTATTTTACTTAAAATAAGTATGTTGTTATAATTGTTTTATTTTATTATTAGTTATTGTTAATTTCTTACTGTGCCTAATTTATAAATTAAACTTTACCATAGATGTGTACAGGAAAAAACATAGTGTACATAGTGTGCAGTACTATCTTCTGTTTTAGGCATCCAGTGGGGGTCTTGGAACCTATCCCCTACTGTATTTGGGTTGTAAACTCCTTGAGGGCATCGCCAGTCTTACTCATCTTTGTATCTTCTTCTGTCCAGTTCATTGACTTGCATATAGTAGGAAATCAATAAATGTTGAATGCTTGTGTTGGGCGAATCTGTAAAGCTCTAGGCTTGGATATCTTTACCTAATGACAGGGGAGTATTATATTAGATAATTTCCAAGGATTCTTTCAGTAATATGGTCTTCATGTGACTTCCATAATCCAAGTGCATTGGTATATGGTTATTTTATTAATGTGATTATGTACAGTACTTGGAGCAGTAGACTTTTAAATAAAAAGAACCTGAAAAGATTGCCTAAGGCATACCAATGGCAGTGCCTTTGGTACACACAGGTATACACATCTCTGTGCAGTGACAGAGTCCTACAGAGAATAGGACATAAACATTCTCAGTTTTGAGGGTTCTGCAGGGAAAACTGTAAGACAGTCATAATCATTTTTGTTCCTGTAGCCATCTGGAAAGTACGGTATCTTCATTACATTCTTATTTCTACAGAGGCTCTTAAAGAGGAATACCACATTAAATGCTGAAATTTTCATATTTGCTAACCAGTAGAGATGGTTGAGTTGTTAGCATTTGAATGTCTTATTAGCGAGATGAGAGGAAAGGCAAAATTAAAGCTCATTTTTTAGACAGTTACATACTTCTAAAGTATAAAAGAATGACTAAAGGAAAAACATGACAATTTTTATCAGAAAACATTTTAATGCTTTTTATATTATGTGCCTTATTTAAATCCTAATAAAGCTATAAATATCATGGAATATAAATATGTAGCTGCTTACATAAATAATGTATCCTCTCTCCCTCTCTTTTATCAAGATTGAAAAGGCCAAACCTATTAAATGTGGAACATTTGGTGCAACATCTTTACAGCAGAGATACTTAGCTACTGGAGATTTTGCTGGAAACCTTCATATATGGTAAGATTATTTAATTAGTATTAAGATATGAGATAAACAATTCCTTTGATAGTCTTCTTACTCTTCCTCTGAAAGAGAGAAGTCTAATTTTTCTTTAGGTATTTCAAATAATGTTGTTAATATTTATTTCTACATATGCTGTTTGATTCTAACATTTAATACCTTGTATTTGTAAATAATGGTCTATCTCCCTCCACCTTGAAGGATACAGTATATAAAA